CTGTAATGTAGCAAATACATTTTTATTCTAACAAAATTGGTCGTCATGCATCCAAAAACGCCTCTTACTGTAAAATCACACTTAGATTCAACAAAGTCACAACTTATAAGGATTTATGAAGAAACTATCTTTACTAAAAGCTAAACATTATTGTCAAAACTTCCAAATCAGGCCCTTAAGTCTGAAATGTCCATGTTTACTGAACAGATAAACGGTAACATTTGATGTCAGGGTGTTGAAAGCCTGACTAAATGTGATTCTTGGACCCACACTAATGCAGTTTCACCTCTTTCTTTTCTTTACAGGACTTCAAAGATCAGGAACCCCTATAATAATAATAATAGAATCCTTCTTCATCCTCCAGCAACCTCTCTGACCTCAGGATCACATCAGTTCAGATCAACTCCTCTGCTTCCAAACCACAGACTTCACCCAGTTACAGCGGCAGTCAACAGAATTAAACCAGAGAAATTTCTGGTTTGTATACTGTGTGTGTGTGTGTGTGTGTGTGCAGTCTGACTCTGTATGGAGATTGGGTGGTTTTATAGACTCACACTGTGTGATAAATTATGTGGGAGTTCTTGTGTTTTCTCTCTTTTGACAGACCTCTCGCATATCTCACGGTGTGCTTAGCAGATTATCTGCTTTACCGCATGCTTAAGGAGAAACCCCAGTGTTGTGATTGAGGTAAAGATAAGATGGCGTTGAGGTGGAAAGAAAGGTTGGGAAACCACAGCTGGCTCCATCCTGGAGGTCAAATGGAGGATTGGCTGCACACAGAGACTCAATGTGTAACAAGGAGGCTATAAAAAGTGAAACAGTAAAAAGTTGGAGATCAGTCACACACCCAGGTACTAACTTTATCTGTGCATTTAGAACTTGCGTTCTGTGTATTAAACACCACATTGCTATAACTTTATTAACTTTGTATTCTCTGACTTATGGCCACACTGTAATATGAAAACCTAGTGGGACGGAACTGCAAGGTTGATTGGATGCATTCTCACACCCGAGTTGTCATTTGCCAGTGTGAGGGCCATTTAGTCAGTGGCCCTCACACTAAGTATCCCTCCACTGTAATTTCTGGATGCACTGGGCTCTGCAGTAAATTTTGCAATAATAAATATGCAAGTTCTGGTTCAAATTTCAAAATAAAGCTTGGTTAACGCTGTGAAACAGTTGTAATTTGGTTAGGTATAGCCACAAAAAGTACTTGGTTAGGTTCAAGAAAAGATCATAAGTTACCATGAATAAAATAAGAATCAGGGCCTTTCAGTCTTTCTTGACATATTCTCTGTAATTTTACATACATTGTGTTATAATGAACCACTCACAATGTTGATCTAACGTGAAATTTGATCTGGAGTCTGCATGCTGTATTTTATTTTGAAATTTGACCGGATTCTCTTTGCCATTTCTATATCTGACTTCCTGCCAGTGCGATCTGCTCTGGGCTGCTTGACACGAGTGGGTTGTGGTTTCTGTCAAAAATAAACCAGCTGCATATTCTACGCGGAGCCGAGCAAAGATACGATTCTGGGATGTACCACAACGCTCCTAGTGGAGTCCACAGCCAGGCTAGCAAAGGCCTTTCCTTGTCTCCCCTTGTGAAACTGTGAAAATAAAGCCTTGAATCAGGCCAGTGAAAACTTTTTTAATTTAGGGCCACGAAGAACCGTGCGAGAGGCCCCTAAAAAATTGTAAATTGAGGATTCTTTTTTCTTTTTCCTCCTAAACAAACGCATTTTTGGAGGCCTCAGCATGCTCGAAAACTCATGAAACTCGGCGTACATGTCAGTCGTGGCGAAAAATTTTATATTCTATGCGCAGCTTTTGGGTTGGCCACTAGGTGGCGCTACCATCAAAAAAATATTTTTAGGCTAATAACTCCCGCATCGTTTGTCGCACATTCAAAAATCTTATATCCA